CTTTTTTCCTCTAAAATTTACGTGCACATGTTATCACGAGGGAAAAAATCTATGTCATTTCAGATCGCGGAGCTGGGATCAAAGCAGCAATGGATTCTTTGGGTCCAATGTGGCAACCACCCTTTGTCCAACATAGGTATTGTCTCCGACACATTACTGCGAACTACCATGGAAGATACAAGAAGAATGATGAGCGTCAATTACTTGTGTGCATAGGTAATTGAAACTGATGTAGTTTGTTTTCTTTCGATCCTTTTGATCATGTTAGTAAGTTATACATTTTTTGATCAAGTTACAAACTACTTCCTCGAATCTTTGAATCAATGCTTCAAGATTTGCAGGCAAAGAACGAGGAAGAATATGATTACATCAGCCTCATCGATAAAGAAATGTGGACGAACGCATATGATGGTAGATATCGATATGGACACATGACGACCAACTTGGTAGAGGCAATCAATTCAACCTTAAAGGGTGCACGTCACTTACCTGTAGCGGCTTTGGTAAAGACTACATATTTTTGTTTGGGGGCGCTTTTGCGAAGCTCAGGGGACAAGCTCAAACCTGGATGCAAGACGGTCATGTGCATCACCCTAGATTAGTTGCAGATCTACATAAAAAAAATTGCTGCATCAAATGGGATGTTTGTAACAAGTTTCTCTAGAAGGCATGAAATGTTTCGTGTCACAGAGTTGCCGCGACCTCTTCAAGGGATTGAAGTTGTGTCGTTAAGAGTAAATCTAAGGGATAGAACGTGCGACTGTGGGTTTTTTCAAGCTCTGAAATATCCATGCTCTCATGTGATAGCAGCTTACTCATATACACGTCAAGACTATAACCATTTTGTGGATCACATATACCTAATATCTGAAGTTTTTAAGGTATACGAATTTGAGTTCCCCCTATAGGTAATGAAAAAGACCCTGATGAGGTTCAAGATTGGCTTCCGATTGTACCAAATCCGAGTTTATTGAGGGAGTGTGGTCGTCCAAAATCTAATCGAATTCATTGTGATATGGATATTCGAGAAAGATCTAGACAAGACAGAAGATGTGGGCATTGTAAAAACCCAGGACACACTAGAAAAACATGTCCACTTCTGTTGTCATCAAGTAACAATTGATGAGGAAATGATGTAGTTGTTTATCAATTAATAATTATTGTACTTTAATTTGCATTTACTTCAAGTTAATGTTATTCGATAACCGCTGATGAAGATTAAAAAAACGATATAATTATACGAGATTGGACATTGGCATTATATTAACAAATAACTGATATTAACGATACAATAAATATTAAATGGTAAATGATAACTAAATTACAATAACTAATATTAAATTGTAATAAACAAAATTAAGCAAAATAAATTAACAAAAAGTCCAACAAATTTATCAAAATAAATTAAAATAAATCCAACCATATTAACGAATTAAAAGTAAGTATTAAATGATAAATAAAAAAAAATTGCAATAAAAAAGTCCAATAAACAACTACAATAAAAAGTACTAAATACAAATATAATAAAAAAACAAAATCTATCGATGCCTGCGACGCGAATGTGTTCCGTAGGGCAGTGGATGTCGGTCTCGAGGAGGATTTCTTCGTATCACTGGTTGTGACTCCTTGCTGTCATCGTCATCACCATCATCGTCGTCGTCATCCTGAGCAGCTAAATTTTGTTGATGAGGAGTTGATGACGATGAAGCACCTCCATAGAATAAGGACCCTGGAGGTGTATGACTGACTATCCCACCGGCCTACGAAAACTGGGAAAACTCATAAAACCCAGACATCGCTGAGTGTGAAAACTGTACAGGAGGTGTTTGTGCTGCGGCCATGGGTGATGAGGCTGAACCCGCTAAATATCCAACATATGAACCCCAAGTCGAATCTATAAACATAGACCCATAATAACCTCCAGGAGGGGTCATATAACTCTGTGAAGGTGGCAGCGACGGGGTCATAAAACCAGGTGATGGTGGCAGTGGCGGCATCGGGTAAGGGAATGGCGGTGGCGGCATAACATATGGTTGCGGTATGTAAGTCGCTGTAGACGGTGGCTGCTGTGAAGGTCCTGCTGGTGCAGCTGAGGATGAATCGGAAGAACATGCTCTCCGTCCACGAGTCGGGGGACGATGGTACTGTGTCGGTGAATGTCTCTGTCGACGTCGTGGAAAGGTTTGCCCTCGTGCATCCTCGGGAAGCAGAAACATTTTCTCATTTCTGTTGAACCACTTATAATAATCATCACCAACCATTAAGTCATCAACATAAATGGGCTCTCTACAAGGAAGGCGTCGATGTCGATCCTCCCACAACACGACCCACTCATGATGCCTCACCAGCCAATCTGTATCGGTCTTGCCGCGTCTATTTGTGGCATGCAAGTCGTCCATATTGCGAGGTGCTTTCGGAATTGGTTGAAAACAACCACATTGCCGGAGCATGCGATTAGTAGAGTGCCACTCGATGGTCGTATAACATATCAAAGGGACAATCGCCATCCAAACATCTGATGGGGCCCTCAACTCAGGTGGGATCACTGTCCTCACATCATCATTAGAATATGACACCCATTCAAACTAAAACAAATATATATAATTTTTATCAAAATAATAATCTAATTATATAACTATAATCTAAAATCGATTTTTAAACATTTAAATTCATACTTGTGTGCCAGCCTTCTGATCGATGAGCACCCTAATTTTTTCTAAATCATTAGGTAGCTCCTGATGATTTTTCCTATTAGTAGACCACCTATTCAAGAAAAAAATTTATTATATGCTATATAAAATGATTAATATACGAAATCAGTTTTATAATTACCTCAAGAGTAGCGGAAATACGAATGGGTTCTTTACAACGGGACATAAAAAGGGCAATCGATACCATACCCAAGACTGCAGCAGGAGGAGACATCTGTCGATAGCATTTCTCTTGTAGTCAGTGGCTCGACATATCTCCCTGTACAAAAAAGCCAAAACTTCCGAGCCCCAACTGAGTGATCCGGCCAGACGAAAGTCGACAAGATGTCGCAACCACATACAGTGAACTTGGTTGCACGATTTGTCCGACATCAACAACCCTCCTATCAGTTGCAGTATGCATGCCCGTGCATACATTTTAACTTCATCATCTGACGCGTCCTAGCTCAACTCCCGAAAATTGGCATCTAACTAATTTAACGGTATCCGACCACCGTTAAAACTTTCCGAGACACGTCCTAGATTATCCCGACACAAAGCAGTCCAGGAACCCTACGCGATCCCCGATATCACATCTCCATCCACCGGAAGCCCCAGGTGCATAGCAACATCCTCAAGTGTAATCGTGCACTCTTCGCACGGAAGATGGAATGTGTGGGTCTCTGACCTCCACCGCTCTACTAAGGCAGAAATAAGGTGTGGTTCTATCTTACAGTGACCCTGATATCTACCTATGTAACCGAATCCAGCCTCTACTAAATACTGCAAGACACTGCTAGGTATCACTAACTTAAGATTCCTAATAAAAATGGATCTAATACACGGTCCTTCTCCTAAAATTAAATAATTACAAAAATTAATTCTTAATCTAATAATCATGCATTAAATAAATCAACAAATAATTACTAATAATTTAAATTAAAATGTTAAAATGTTACCGTATCAGCAAAGTGTCGAGATATATGATTTCCATCCAAGCGAAGTAGACCGTCTTCCATTTTATATCTACAAAAAAATTAATTAAATAAAATATTAAATAAATTAAATAAATTAAATAAAAATATTAAAAATATAATAAAATATACCTTAGACAGAGATTATAAGAGTATTTGAGAGAAGTTGAGAGAATTTGGTGTGATGAAAGTGATTGAGGATGAGAGTATTTATAGGGAGGGATTGGGGTGTGAAACGTCGGGGTAGGTGAGTAATTATACCCAAGCGGGGCGCGCCTTACTGACGCATGGCAGATTCTGGAGTAAGGCGCGACCCTTGCACCGCGCTATACCCCTGTACACACGTGTATACCATGTCAGCATAAGATGCGTTTCAGGGGGGGCGCCTTACCCCACATGACACCAAATCAGTGTAAAGCGCATTGTAGGAACCTTGCCTTTCTACAAATGGTGTTAGATCAAAAAATATAGTCTGAACAGTACCTGATCAAAAAATATACTATTCAACGATGATATATAAAAAAATCACCTAACATTTCCAATATCGCTTTTAATCAATCACACCACTTTTTAACTATATATTAATCCGACTAACAGCATAACCTCCTTTAATTTATTGAATGCAGCCGACTTAGAATTGAGCCGTTTCTTACCACGCCATACATTATAAAAAGGCAAAAGGAAAAAAAAAACAGCAATTGGAAAACAGAAAAATATTAAAAATAGTTTTTACAATCAACAAATCCGTGTTTATCGATCGAAGTGATTAATCCAATTCATCTGTGGTGCAGTCTTCCCTCTCATTCTCTTGCGCCTAATCTTCTTCTTCAGCTGTTTTCATCGGGTCTATCGTCTTTTCTCTCTTCTCTTTCTCTGCACTGTAATTTTCTCCTCTCTTATTTTTCATTATGTATATGTATATTCGTTCTTCTCAATTGAATTTCACTTTCAGCATCGAGATTCGTTCTTTCTTTTTTCAGTTATGATTACCAGATTTTAGGAATGTGTATAATGTGCCATTGTATGCATCGACTCTGATTCATTTTTTATTAATATTCAGTCTGGTTTTGATGTGAAATCTGATCGTTCAAATAGTTTATAAATTAGATTCTCTATTTCTTTTTTTTTCGAAGATATCGATGTTACTCGACGTTTTTTCCAGCTATCACATTGCTGTCTAATCTATATATGTCCGATGGTCGTTGATCCAATCATTTATTTTTCAATTATCTTGCAATGAAATTTTATTGCAGTGTGTATATTTCAGAATTTGGGCGTGATTCATGGAGAATTAGAGGCATTTTAGGTTCTTTTGTGGTGTTTTGGATTTGGAACAATGTCCTCGAAAGGCCATTTTGGAACAATGTCCTCGAAAGGCAAACATCAACCAGTGACGTTGTCTGTTCTACTGGAACGAGAATCGACAAATGGAAAGATAGAGAAACCTGAGATTGTACATGGACTAGCGAGCCAGACCAAGAAAGGGGAGGACTTTACGTTGCTTAAAATGGATTGCCAAAGAACAATGGGAGATGGTGTCACCACATTCTCAGTTTTTGGGGTATGGATTTTTGTCTCCCTTGAACCATTGCCAATCATATACTAATATGCTCCAGACGTTGTCACTTATCGCCATGAAGCTATAATTTGTATCACTAGCATACAAAGATTTAGAAGCTTTTGTCTATTAGGCTATTGGTGCAATCACCTGTACAATATGTTTTGTTTTCCCCAAATGTACTTGTCATTATTTATTTTCTGTTGAAAATCCTTGGAAGGATCATCATTTAAGGCGGATCTTTCTTGATTTTCTTTATTGTTTTTGTTCTCTTTTTATGGTTTTGTTTTGCTAAACTTGTTTCCTTTTTGCAGCTCTTTGATGGCCACAATGGATCTGCTGCTGCTATTTACACTAAAGAGAATCTCCTTAATAATGTCCTAAAGGCTATTCCGACGGATCTTAATACAGATGAATGGGTTGCTGCGCTGCCAAGGGCTTTGGTTGCTGGCTTTGTTAAAACTGATAAAGATTTCCAAGAGAAGGGTATGAGTTGTTTTGGTAAACATATCTGAGTACAGCATATAATTCATAGGATAATTTTTGGACAAAAATGGAGTATTGCTCTAGATATTAATTTTAATGTTATAAGACTTTTCCATTTACTTTGGACTGGTTGTTACTATTAATGCAAATTGCATCTTTTTCAGGCACTCTTCTATGGTAGCACATATGCTTTAGCCATGTAGGCCGTGTCCTATTTTACTGAACTAACTTTTTAATATTCTCCCTACTGTCTTTCGATGTTGATTTTTGCTTTATGTGAGGTCCTTGTATGATATGGATTACAGAGTTTTATAGATTTATCATTAAGAATCTTCGCGAGAAAAAATGCTTATACGTATAGATGGTTGCATATTGGAAGTTTATGGATATCATTTTTTTATAGTCGATTATAACTACCTGTAATTACTCAGTTGCTAAATGGAGCCCTTGTACAACAAAAAGAAGATACCAGATCAGATGGATCAGCTTGTCTATATTAATATGATCTTTTCACAGAAGATATTTAGTTTATGACTATTTTCTCTGTAGTTAACAGATAGTTCTTGAGATAACTTGAAATTGGTCTAGATATAATTGTCTCTACCAATAAGCGTCCAACTTGATACTTTTACCATCCATACCATGAGACACTCGCTAGATAGTTTCATCTAATAATTATTTTTCCTTATAATGATTTTACACAAGCATATAGTTCATGGACATAAGAACATAACTTCTTCCTCCCACCAAAGCAATTGGGTTAAAGAAATCATATTTTTAACTGTTTTCTCTTTCTTTTTTAAGCAACTTCTTTGGGGTTTCTCTCACATGTTTAGTATTTGGTATCGTGTTACGCTTTTCTTTCCAGAAAAAATATCGGGAACAACTCTAACATTGGTGATAATAGAAGGATGGGTTATAACAGTCGCATCTGTTGGTGATTCCCGGTGTATATTTGACTCAGCTGATGGTGGAATATATTACTTGTCAGCTGATCATAGGCTTGAATGCAATGAAGAGGAGTAAGTTAATGACATGGAGTTTGTTTGATTTGAAAGTTTCCTTTAATTTTAAGGTCTTACTCTCTGTTTTCTTCTCATCAGAAGGGAACGAATAACTGCTAGTGGGGGTGATATTGGTCGGTTAAATGCTGGTGCCGGTACAGAGGTATCTGCTCTTTTTGAGTGCTTCAACACCTTCTCTTTCTAGGCAGTGAAACTTAACACCCTCAAGATATTTTCATTGAGATATATTCATGTGAATGGATGGATATGCAACAAGAATACTTGGAACACACAAATTAGAAGCTAGTTTCGGTCATTTCATGACTTATCAAACATACAATAAATTTATTTGAAAATTGATGTGAATTAGAGGGACTCCTTTTTTAAAACTTAGAAATATAGTTCTAACAATTGTAATTAGCAATAACTTTTCTGTATCCATCTTTGTTTGGATACATATATTAAGAACATGCTATTGACATGCTTGTAAATGACTTGGTTCCATGTATAGAATTTCAGTATCTGCACTCAGTGACAAAAATTGCATTTGATTAATTGTGTGGATCAAAGCTGCTGACTTAATTTATTTTGCAGATTGGTCCCTTGAGATGTTGGCCTGGAGGCTTGTGTCTTTCACGTTCCATTGGCGATAGGGATGTTGGGGAGTTCATTGTTCCTGTTCCATACGTACAGCAAATAAAGGTTTTGTCTCTCATATTCTATGTGCACATTGCATTTTATATAGGCTAGTTGGTCTATCTTAATTTCTGGAATTAACTTCTTCGCTTAAAATTGTATTTTGTGCACTGCCTTTGGGAGCACCTGGTTAATTTGTATTTTCCTTATGAAACTGCTAAGAAGTTTAGTACGTTCTTTTTTGTAATAGACTACAACTTAGCTTGGACCAATATCTTTTCTGAATTCATTGATCATTGACGGATTTAGTACAGGTATTATGTTCATATCCTTATGTTCTACACATTGGTGGAGCCACCTTATGCATTGTGGGGTCAATTGACCCCCAAAAAAGTTTCATTTTTTTACTTTGTGAAATATAAAAAATAATTTGTGAAGAATTGATCCCGAAAAAAGTGGGAAAAATATTTTATAAAAAAATAATTTAATCTATTTTCACCCACTAAAATCCAAAAATTCATAATGTTTTTATTTTCTTTCAATCTTCATCTGATCAAATTTCTCTTATTATTTGATACTCTCTAGAAATTTTACGAGATAAGTTATCATTTTTTCAAGGCTTTCAAGTGGGTCTCCTAATTTCATAACAACTCTTTCTTTTCTTTTCAAACTTTATTGATCAATATTAGAAAATTTTGGATCGTGACTTTGCTGGTCATAGATTAGAACTTCTATGCATAGTTAGGATTTTTTTATTGATTGAATGATTTTGGTATATTAATTTTCTATGGGATTCCTATGTCTTAACATCTTGCGTAATAATATTTAGAGATTGATTAATACAAATCCTTGAAGAAATTAAGTTTGGTTGTCTTTACTCTTGATTCTTTGTAATATTGATTAGAAATTTAGCATTGTTGTTTAGAACTTGTGGGTGATAGTGTGATTACTGTGAATGTTGTGTTTGTGTTAATTTTGTGTTTATCATATTGCATTCTCATATTAGAAGAAAACTACTAGTTGTATGTTGACTTATGTTATTGAAATTTATATGAAATACTTTTTTCTTTTAATTTCTACTTCAATAGTTTTGTAATAATCTTATATTAAATCATATTCTACTTTAATTTATCAAGGTTTAATGATGTTAGCTAACCAGGCTTCTTAAATAATGGAGAAGTCGGTAGCCTTGTTGTTTCCCGATCTAGGAGAGACACCAAATGCTACACGTTGAATTGAAAGTAATCTGCACAAAATAAGAAGAATTGGCTAAGTAAATGGATAATTAAGAAAGGAAATAGAAATGGAAAGAATTAAAATGGAAAGAAAAGTTATCAAAGATAGGCTGCGGAAGTGATGTTGAATTATCCTTCAAATGTAAGAGAATTCAACCACCAATATTGTTGTTGGACGTATGCCTTAATTGATGAAGGAAAGTTGCTTTAATGGTGATGAATATGGTAAAGGGATGGTGGTAGAGTTGGCGTGAAAGTGATGATGGAAGATGGCGATGAACAGATAGTATCTTATAAAATTAAGAAGGAACCAATGCTATAAAGGAGCAAAGACATGTTTCTTATAAGTCTTATCAGGGATGGTAGTAAGGACTTTGACCCACTAGTTATAAGAACTAGGAACCAGAAATATCAAGGGGAAGGAATGACGCCACAAACATAATAATTAAGCTTGCTTAATCGATATAGTTCTAAAAAGAACTTAAAGAGAGAATAATCTCACAAGAGTTTAATTTATCAAAAGGGTTGTCTTACAATGTAAATAGCCTAGCCTATTTATAGCTTTCAAAGGGTTTAGGTCGATTAAACACTTGATGGTTCGGCCAAGGTTGAAACCCTTTTGAAAATACATGATTTTTTATGAAAATACATGATTTAAATGAAGATACATGCTCTTGGCCGAATGGTTTTGTATTGGTTCATCCCTAAGGATGATTTGAATGCATTTGGAAGTTATTTGGGCGCCAAAATGAAGAGGAAAGAGTCTTTGGCCGAATAGGAAGCATCCCTTGGTGTTTTGGCGCCAATTTGATGTCACATGGAGTGCACATGCTTGAATGATGCACATGGAAGCCTACTTGAATGCACATGAGTCTTCTTGTAATGCTTTGGTGAGGTTGTAATCATAGGATGATGTCTTGAAGTCCATGGAATGGAGATAGGCAGCAACTAGGTGTGACTTAGCTTCCAACATGCATCTAGGTGTCATGGTCTTCAATGGGCAGCAACTTGTCATGAATGGTTACATGTGTAGAAGGTAACCTTTCATCATTTGAGCTACTTTCCATGCGTTTGAGCTAAAGATGAGCTGGCCATAGATGAATTACATGAAGATGAGTCTTTGGTCAGCTCCTTGTAACAAGACACCTCTTGGAATGGCAACTCTTCGCGAAAAAGTACGAATCCACAAAAATTGACCTAGACCATATTTGTAGTGCTCTGTGTGGTGGTGATGATGGTGCAACTCTCCAGCTGAAATGAGGTCTCTAGCTAGCTCAAAAATTCAGCTCAAGTCAGCTATGACCTTGGGGGTCAGCTGACAACTTTTCACCATTTGTTCTTCATGATCTTCCGAGTCATCCTATGTAAGTTTTCCTACCTCCTTATCCTTAGTTAAGCTCAAATTTAGCTCTCATCATGTGGCCGAATATGCACCTACAAAAGAAAGCATAATATAAGCTAAGTATTTAAAGTAAATAACTTATAATATAAAGATGTGGACTATAGGTTATAATAATAACTCATGCATCATATGATAATGAATGAATATTATTATTATAACTATAGATTATATGCTTGAATATCAATCAATGATGCAAACCATAAAATGAATGAATGCACATGTTATGATAATTCAGGTATAGTCTAATCTGTAAATGTATGCTTATAATAATATATAGTGCATAAATGAGTAAATATAAGATAAAGTAAGGTAGAACTCCCTTAGAACCAGATTTGAATAACATCCATGGTGTGATCAAGTCATGGAGAAAATTGGAGCTAGACAGTATCACATCATCCTCCCTTCTTTTAGGCGATCCTTGAGAAGATTCTCCCCATGAAATGTTCAATTTCATTGTTCCATCTCGTTTGTGTTGTTTTGGTTCAACATTTCTCTCTGTAAAGACTTGCGTCTCTTGGAGTCCTCCTTGATGTCCTTTTCGAAACATCATATCCTTCATCGATGAAGAATGTCTTTTGATCAATCTTTTTACTTGAAGCAACACATCCTTTGGAGAAGGTATATAACTCTTCGTCTTCTCTCTTTGAATCATCATGATGGTTGGTGAAGAGTCTTAACCCTTGAAATCCTTCAAGTAGGTAGATCATGTCAACTCCTTGGTACTGTTTAAAAACATCATGTCCTTTTGTGAAGACACTAGTTTCTTGAACGTCTCCTTGGTGTTGTTTGTAACCAACATGTCCTTTGGTGCATGGATGTGTCTTCTGAACTTTGCTCATCCCTTCAACTTTTCTTTGGTGATGGTAGGAAACATCATGTGCTTTTGCCTTTGTATCTTTCCAAATGATCACCTTTGATTCAATGGAAACAACCATTAAATAGCTAGGTATGGTAGGAATAAATTTTGAATCATCTTCTTTGTTTCTTCTCATCTTCCGGTGCAACTCTTTCTCAAACTTATGTCATCTTTCATTTCCTATATCCGCAAACATATTAGTTGAAAAGAAAATGAATTCCAAAAGAGTAGAGAAAACAAACCCATTAATGCTTATGAATGGAAGTGAACACTTGTTCATGATGGACAATTGTATTAGTTCATCCTTTGAAGTATTTTCATTATCCTGCATCAAAGAAAAATCAAGAATAGGAGAAAAAGAATCGTTAGATAAAATCAGTTGTTTATCCTTCTTGTCTCCAAATTCATTCTTTTCAATTCTTTCATTCGTAACTCCAATGTCTTCTTCATTCGAACCTTCTGCCAAACGTTCTTCTTCAAGTTGCTCCTTCATTGCTTCAATGCTTTTTCTCAAATGAGTTTGGTCTTCATGCACTTGACTAGGAGAAAGTGGTGTCAAAATGAATTTCTTGCCATTATGGGTGATAGTATATCTATTCGTAAACCCATCATGGATTGCTCGTCTGTCGAATTGCCACGGCCTTCCTAAAAGTATATGTCTAGCATCCATTGGTACAACATCACAAAGGACTTCATCTTGATATTTTCCAATTGAAAATGGAATGACAACTTGCTTTGTGATCCTTACTTCTCCACCGTCATTTAACCATTGAAGTTTATATGGATTTGGATGCTTGGAAGTTTTCAGACCAAGTTTTTCCACCATAAGAGTGCAACGTTCGTACAACTTCCTCCATCGATGATCATAAAACAAACTTTGTTGTTTACATGACAACGAGTATGGAAGATATTTTCTCTTTGATCATCCTCTATGATTTGAGTGCTTAAAGCCTTTTTAATGACAAGAACTTGTCTTGAAGCTGTATGAAAATCAAGCAATTCTTGTGACATGGTTAGTGAAAAAAAATTAAAACCTTACTAGCACACCACAAAAACCTCACTTGATCACTCCAAAGAAAATTTCAGATTGCACTCCACTCACACTCGTGTTTGCACTCGGGGATATATTCTTGGCTTTTTCTTGATCCCCCTTCTGATCTCACCCTCTCGTATGCCTTTTTCCGCTCGATTCTCTCTTGTGGGTCCTTTTTAAGAACTAACTCAAGATTGAGCAAGTCTCTTTAGTTGGTGCGTCGACTTAAAAGAAATGGTTAGATATAGAAATGGTTATGGTAGAGGTATAATAGAAAAGGTTAAGAAAATAATAAGGTAATAGAGTAAGAATAGATGAAAGAATAAGGAAATGAAATAGTAAGAAAGTGAAGATAACTTACAACTCAAGTTGCAACACTTACTATCTTCCTTTACAAGAAACAACAAGGATACCTCCTTCTAGTTTGTTGTTGGGCAGATTGTTTTGTGCTTCTCTTTGAGTGTACTTTGCAACTTTCTTCACTTTTCTTTTTCTTTGAATTTTTTTCTTCTTTTTCTTTTCTTTCTTTTGCACTCCAAA